TATCTATCTATCTATCTATCTATCTATCTATCTATCTATCTATCTATCTATCTATCTATCTATCTATCTATCTATCTATCTATCTATCTAGTGCATATTTGAAATTTTGCGAGCAAATTAAAGATTTAATTTTTGGAATTATACTTTGGTATGTCGTTTATTTTGCCAGCACTGGATAGATTTGTGTAAAGATTTTTATTTATCTTTTCAAGAACAAACACGATCAATAAATAACAGGATTTACATTTCATATTGCACATATTTTTTTTCAAGTTAAAATATTTAAATTCATACAGTCATTGATATTTTAAATACAGAGTTGAACACATACCCAATGGTAGAAAGGCGAAAAATAAGAATAAAAAAATTCCAACATAATAAAAAAAATCATAAAAACATTTTTTAGAGGGCCCTGATGACATATTCTACATATCCACGTTAATTTTAAATTTCACTTAGTAATTTCGATTACTGTTGAATTTATTAGCAAATGGGCAGGTCCTTCCAGTGTTTAAACAATAAAAAAACATTCATCAAGTCACACAAAATAAATTATATTCATATATAGATATATATAAAAAGGAAAAAGTGTTTGAAAAATTGCCTACCATTTACATTTCATGGTCCTTTTTTTTTTAGATCAACAATTCAATTAATCAGTAGAAATATTTGCATTTTTTACAGTTCACATGTTTTAGAATTAACATATCTGAAATGTCCCAAATGGAACGACTGAAATGCACATTTTAAAAATTCCTATTGTTTTTTGTTGTTATTTTTGCCTTTGTTTTGCGGATGCAGACATATTTTGAAGCATTGTGGGCAATCTGATCTGAGTCCATTCCCGTCACTGTGTGCAGGAATTACCTATACTGGGGTGATATAAGGAGGTCCGGTAATGTAAATAAAGCAGATCCTGCTGTGTGAATCCACTTCCCCCCACTTATTTGGAGCAGAAGATCATTCAGGGGGCTCTTGGAAGGCTGCTTTATCAGAAATTTAAAGTCTCCATGTGTCAGCCGGTCTCCTCTTACAGGGTGCCAGGAGTGTCGCTTTGTTCCAGCTCTTTTGTATATCTAATGACTTCCCTCCGCGGGTTGTTAGCGCATGACAGCGGGTCTCAAAACGACGAACTTTTCTTGCGGCCATGTGTTCAAAGGAGCTCCATCTAGGTACGATGATTGGCAATTTTTGTCATGATCCTCTCGTTATTAACATAAAAACTGACATGGAAGACGCGATGTGAAATGATATGCACCTTCTAGCTGATTAGGGAAGTCCCCACAGAGCAAAGACTGGGTCTTGGAAAAGCTATATTGTTGCCAAAATATCATACTGTTCTAGACCTTAGTGAAGAAAGATTGGCCAAGAAACACATAATAATGAAAATACATTCTGCTTTTGAAGATTTGACAAACTGTAGGCCTTAAAAGTAGAATAGACAGCAAAGTAGAATTTGGACTTTTGAATTTCAGCGTTGTTGGACTTTACTTAAAACTACAATCATCACATCCAATGGCACTTTAAACAAAAAAGTCAATCAAGATGCCATTTAATAAACTAATTAAACTGAGGATGTTTTGTTTTGTTTGCACAATAACAATTTGCCCATTTTCAATTCCAGATCTCGCAATTTGCCTACCCTAAGTTCATTTCGTACCCATCTCCTTGCATGCCATTTTAGTCTTCTGGATAGGTATCTTTGGACTCATTTTCGTACCCAAATTCCGTTTCGTAGATAAAAGCCACAAAAATATTAAATATCTGATTTTTTTTTTGATAGTCAGTTTCCATTATAAATTATGGGCATCTTTAACAATAGAATTTGTATGATATCTCTGTAAGATTTTGCATCCTTCCAATTTTATCAGCTATGATTAAATGTGATCCAATCAGGGCGATGGTTATTTCGAAACTTCGTCGTTTTAAATATTTCCCATTTTGCTTTTTAATTGTTTGTCTTTAAATAATTCGATCATTTTAAAAATCTCTGAAATTTCATAAGAGTAAGATAGCTCTAAAAGAGGATTAAATTATTATTTTTGTTTGTTTGTTTTAAGTCGGTGATTTAACACTGTTTTAAGTGAGATCTTAGAATAGTAATGTTTAGTTAGTCCTTGAAATCTTTGATTAAAAGCCAAACTGACTAAACGTGTTTAAGTCTATAGCTGATAGTTTCTTAAGAGGTGCGAAATTGAATTATTAGATATGAAAATAGGAAATAAGGAAATGAAAATAAATACCTGTGAGAATGTACCCTCAAAATTTAAACAAGTTTTATGTTTGTTTGTTTTTTTCTTTGTCTGTTTATAACCCTGTGTTTGAGATCTGTAGACCAGTTCATTCTTATAAAATATGAAAGATTATGACAGATCAATCCAAAATATTTTGAAACGATCTCCTGGTAGGTATTTGTAATCTGGAGTTCATACTACATTAGAGGAATATGAGAAGACCAAAAGAACACAATTGATAATCTGTTCTCGAAACAGGGATCAAATGAATCAGAGTTTACATGAAACATTCGGAGCAAGATTCAAACGTGGGGCACGAAACGACCAAAACAGCTAAAGCAAGGAATGGTGAGCGGGCGATATGACAAGCACAACAATATAAGCTTGTCCACTCGCATGACAGTGACACGTCTAAGAAAAGAAAAAAAAAGTAGGCTTTGCATTGCATTATGTACTGTCCAGTCCTTTTTTTGTTTTTTGTCATAAATATTACTTACAAATTATAATGTGTGTCTGTTTACAACGTTTTATGCACATGTGTCCTTAAAAACTGACCTATCCCTCCTGAACAAGGTGATCAGTTATCTGTTTAGTGAGCTCTCCTCTCGTTGATCGGGCGATGGGACAGAGGTCTTACTGAGAACAGCGGCGGAATACGGCAGGAAGCCACTTTCTGATCTCTGAGCAGAAGCCGTGCAGGTAAAGTCAGCGCCGGCGCTCCTGGAGCCCAGCGCGCTGGCCGCCTGGCTGCTGCTGTGGCAGCTTAGGCACGAACAGGGCCCGGAGGCAGACGGAGCGCTGACCGCCGCCGCCGCCGCTGCAGCCGCGGCTGCTGCGGAAGCTGCCGCCGAGCTGTTGAGGCCTGCCGGCGACTGGTACAGTCCTGGGTGTCTGAAGCTGCACAGGAGCTCCGGACGTGAATATGGATGGGAGAGGGCGCGAAAGGTGTCGAGGGGCCGGATAGAGGTGGCAAAGGGCGACGAGGCGGCTCCGCTCGCCGCGGCGGCCGCTGCTGCCGCCGTGACGCCGACGTGCGGATAGTAGTGCAGAGGCATGTGTGAGTGGAAAGGATAAGGTAAACTTCCTGTAGCGGCCGCATGCGTCATCATGTAAGTGTAGAAGCTGGGGTCTGCAGGATGGGGCCAAGACATGGCCAGGCGCTGCCTCTTATCTTTCATCCGCCTGTTCTGGAACCACACCTGCGCATAGAGTCAGAACAAGGCCCCTGTTGAGACTGCCGCATCGCTTTCAAGCATCACATTTACAAAGGGGTCCAGGGGGTGCAGGGCACACACACAATTTTTTTGATTTTTTTAACAAAATTATTAAAATATAAATGCGGATTAGATGAGATGCAACAATTGAAAAACAAAAAAATATATATTTGGGTGGATCTTTTATAATGAAATTCTAGAAAATACGAAATAATTTTTTGTGTGAGCACATTAAAATAAAATAAAAAATTCTCAAACAATTATTTTTTATTAAAATATTGCTTTAAAATATCTATTTTTTAGCATGTTTTCATAGCTTCCTTTTTCTATTAATCTTTGTAAGCAGCCTCACCTTTATTGTCGTTTCCGGCAGATTCAGCGCTGCTGCTAATTCACACCTCCTTGGCCTGGAAACGTAGTTTTCCCGATAAAATTCCTTTTCCAGCCTCCCGATCTGTTCCCGAGTGAAAGCAGTCCGGTACCTCCTAACCTGGTCGGTGTTGGAATTGTTGGATCCTCCAGCCGAGTTTCCGTTCATGCTCGCAAGGGAGTTCGAGCTTGTGTTGGAGGACGCTGAATTACTGTCAGAGAAACCTAAAAAAAAAAAAAAAAAAAAAAAAAAGAATTATACGCCTGCTTTAAAGCCTCCTTAAAAGCTAAAATACAAATACAATTTGTGTGCACCTTCGTAGGCCTGTAATTGCATCATTTTAATAGCGGTTTTTATTGTGGCAGTTTTGGATAAATATTTAGATGAAAAAAAAAAAAAAAAAAAAAAAAAAAAAATAATAATTTTTTTAACTTTATCATAATAGTATTAATATTGTTGCAATTTAAGGAAAGAGGTGGTTTAACGTAGAAAATAAAGATAGATTAATAAAGCAGAAACATTCATCTACACGTGTGTGATTCTAACTTGCGTTTAAATAATAAAAAACAATAAAAATAACAGTGAGTCTAAATCAAATCTCACCCTTATTGTTTTCCTTATGCTGGCTGGGGGAGCGATGCGCCGGGCATCCCACCTCCACATCGCTGTTTATGTCTGATTCTTGCGAAACTTCGGAGTAAAGGCTCATTTTCTTCCTGCTTTCCGACGACGAAATCTCCGCCGAAGACGCGTTCTCGCTCCCGTGGTGCGTCCCAAAGAGGCTTTCTATTTCAAACTTGCCTTTAGTTGGGATGTCCCCGAGATTTCCGTGGAGGGAAGCCGATGTTATTCTCGGGCTTAGCCGCCCGCCGTGTTGTGAGTTTTCCAGGGCCTCCAGAACTGAATTTCCTGGCGCGTCCCCGAGTCTCTTCCCTGAAACAGGACTGTGCAGACCCCTCTCCATCAATATCATCTCTTTTCTTATCCTCTCCATCATCTAGACGTTTAGAAAAGGAAAAAAATAAATAAAAAAAGAAGCAGTAGGCACAAAACTTGTCCAAGGATGGGTTGCAGCACCAGTAAGTTCTGTCAGAGCCAAATCCGCATGGAACTCTGCTTTACCGCGTCTGGATCAACCGTTTTATAAGTAAGACGCAAGAAAATTTAAGAACATGAATGCAACCGAGCTGCAGACGTGCATCCCTCCTCACATGCAGCGGTGGAAAAAAAAGTAATTCATCAAAAAATTGCTCGCTTTCCGTTGTTAAAACGCTGGGCTGACGCTGCTCCAATGATCATTTATTGTAACAGGTTTATAAGCAAATAAATAGGAGAGGGCTGTCACTTGATGATGGAGGCGGCCTTCGGTCAGACGAATAATATCCAAGTGAAGAGAGAAGAGAAGAGTGAGGAGAGAGGTGCGCGTCCCTGGCTTGATCTTTGAGTCTGTTTCAGATCGCTCTTGGGTTTGGTCTCTTGGGGGCAAATTGACAGTCTGATTAATAAAATGAGCGGAGCAGCGTTTCCCTCTTCATTTAGGAATATTATTATGCTTTGATTCTCTATTGTTTGCCTCCTCTCTTTTCGCCCTCCCCCTCTCTAATCGTTGTTCCTTTTTTTTATTCCGATGATTACTTTTACTCTTTTATTGTCTTTGCAGATCCTTTATCTGGATTTGAGCTCCTATATGATTAAGAACAAAATGTTGACAAAATGTTTTCATATATTAAGAGAATCATGATTTCTTCGTTTTTATTATAATTCTTTCCTTAGGTAAAAGAGATTCATCTTTCACTAACAAAACGTGCCAGTTAAGTTTAGTTTTAATGACACCGCTTCATCAAAACGCGCGTTTAATGCATATATTCACAACTCCGCAAAATATGATTTGATAAAAACCAGATATTATTTAAAATGCCTTAATGTATCTGTTACTATTTTAATGCCACAGTTACATGTAAATAAAAGTTCGTTTCTGTTTGTTTTGTCTTTTTGTCCATCGATGTCAAATTTAACCCATTATAATTCACAAAATTAGTTGGCTTTTTATCCTAATCTTTACTTTAATTTGCGATTTCTTCTCATCCTAGTTGTAAAGCTCTTTGTAGCCATTTTTAAAATGTAATTGCATTTACGTTTGTTAACATGCTTTCTGCACGTGTAAAGATAAACCCATGCATCCACTGATTGTTCCACGATTTATATCAACGCCTTTAGTTTCCTCTGCATGTCCTCTGGCGCACCCTGCAGGCTTTTCCGTTTACTGCTGACTAATTTGCGAAGTGGTTCATTTTATGTCCTGACTTGTATCTTTCCTGACCTTTATTGGGAATCTTGGCCGGAATTGCTTTGCATGCCAATGCCTGTAGTTATTTTGATGAAGCAGTTGCAAAGGAAAAACAGTCTTTTCCAATAATTCTGACCAGTAGACCAAGTTCTGAATTGTAAAGACTTTGATATCTAAATGAGGCAAGTTATTAATGATGCTTTGACACAAAGGTTAATAAATGTTGCATTTTTTTAAAGCAAAAATAAAATGAAAAACATCTAAGAGGCAAAGAAAAACACACCAGTTTGGGTGCAGGTTTGGTATACATATTTAGATGTGAGCCCCCTGCTTGTCTAGAGTGCCCATGTGTGTGTGTATATATATAGGCATCAGTTATACTCATGTCAACTTAAACCACTAAATTATGATAGTTATAGTGGCAGAGAAATCATTTAGAGATAATTTATTAGTGTCTGGCCTTTGAATCTGCTATCTAAACATTAGTTAAATGCAATGTTCTTTTCTTTTTCCTTTGTTTTCTCATGAACAGCACTTTGAATTGTCCTGCCACTGAAATGTGCTACATTATGTGAATCGATTAGCGTCTAACTTTTCACTATAAAAGTTATAAAGGTAGTGGTTGTGAACTGAGCATTAAACATGTCCCATTGTCTGGTAAATAGAGCAGAATTCAAATATAGAAATGTGAAACATTTAATATTCAAATAAAGGAATATAGTCAGATTAGCAGGTCAAGGAATTTTGAATATATCTGCAGGGGTATAAATGTAATTCTGTTTAGTGTTTTTAAAACTTTTTTTTAAACACAGCACCCTCTACAATAATTGACACTCTTGATACATTAAGGCTTCAATGTAATTCTAATCAGCTCAGTTTATTTTTATAGATCGATTTTACAGCACATCATCTCAAGACACTTTACAGATATCAGATCATACAGTCAAATCAGTGAAATGTAAGGAAAACCAGATGGTTGCATTGAGTCATTTTCAGGTATGCCCCTCCTTGATGAGTATATGGACAGCAGATATTCACTTCCGTTGTTTTGTTGACTCTACAGCAATCCCTCATAAGAGCATGCATGCAGCAACAGTGGAGAGGAAAAAAACTCCCTATAAAAAGTAAGAAACCTCCAGCTGAACCAAACTCAGTGTGATTGGCCTTAGGCCAAGGCCAACTAGTTTAAGAAGAGAGAAGAAGACATGCAAGAGGAAAATAGAAGCACTGACCTATAAATACCTTATATTTTTGAAAAGGTACCCTCACCCAATAGCCTAGCAATCAATAAAACAGAGAAAAACAGTAACAAAGCAAAGAAAAAGAACAGTGGGTCTTGGCAATAATGAGAGCAGAACAGATTAACTCTGAACTAGTTTGGATGTCAAAACGGATGAAAGAGAGCAAATACAGTTCTCTCTGAAGGTGCTCTCTTGAGAGAAACATGACTAAACACTGAAAAACAGCTCTATCAGTTGAAGGTGTTGATGAAAGGAGCCCAGATGATATTTCTCTCCAGGATGGTGTCAGCCAAACAGGAAGAGACCAGGTTAAACTACTATGAGAAGAAGATATATACATCATCATCAATGAATCATTCATTTAAGTTTTAGATCAAAGTTTTAAAAGTTTTAGTTTCTGACCCACAAAACAGTCCTAACATGGACTCAACTGCTGGTTGAGTGAATTATTTTCATACATTTAAATACTATAATACATATATCCTCCACAATTAGTATTATATTTTCTTTGATTTATTTTCTGTAACTTTTGGAATCAATGATTTAGATCCAGCCACTGAGGCATGGCAATGAGCAGTATGTTTAAGATGAACCTTTTGAAAACCAGTACTAACCCATCTCATCTTTTCTTGCAGAGTCTGTTGGATTTTTATTCAAAGGATCTTAAAGAGTTAATTGTACAACAAACAACGTTTAAAATAAGGTGCTCAGGGGGTTTAGAGAGAAACAGGCCCTCAGCACCACAGTTCCTCCACCATACATAATAAGTTTGAGGTTCTTTGACTTGCATCCAAAGTCACCTGGAGAGTTTGTTTCTTATTTGCAACAGAACATAAAGCATTAATTTTATTCATGTGAAATGATTTGACAGGATATGATTTGTTTAATGAAGTGGATTTTTTAAACAGTGTTTAAAGTTCCAAGTGGCAAACATTACCTAAAAAAAGGACACAAAAATGAGAGATATATTTTAAACTTTTCTCCAGAAGTTTTATAAATATGATGTCAGAAGTCAATTATCATCAATGTGCTATTTTAAAACTTACAAAACTCTTTTTTTTCTCATAGAGATTTACTTATATTGGGAATCAGCATGTTTGACATGAAGTTAAGGTTTTTATTTTGTCTTTATTCACCAACACCAAACTATAGCTGTTTTAATGTAAATTCTGTATCAGATTTGAGGCAACTAAATAAATGTTTGGAGTAATGTTCTTACAGTGATGGAATTTAGCATTTTTTTTTTATCTACATTGTCCATATAAACAATATGTCTACACATCAGTTATTTTTACTCTTAAAAACATGAACATGAATTAACAAAAATATATATTTATCAAAGTGAAGATAGCAGAACAGTTTGGCCTGCTTAGTTCTCTTAAAAGTATAAGCCATTTCTCAATTGATGTGAAAAGAAAGCGAAAACAGAAGAAATCTGTTTGTCTAAACTTAACTGGGTTTTTAATCAAGATCTTATCTGCATTGAGTGCTTCTATTGATTACGAGAGGAAAAGGCATAAAATATTTTTAAATGGAAAACTTTAAAAAGAACTTCAAAAACACCTATTTTAGAATATTATTGGACTCATCATTTGTAAACTGTAAAAATAAATTTTCTTTATAAACTCTGGGAAGCAGGAAGAAGTTGCACCATTAAATACAAGCATCTTTATGAGAAAGATTTGTTGCATAACAACATAGCCCAACATCTGAGTGGGTTTAAAAAAAAGGAAAAAAATAGGAAATCTTTTAAGACTTTTTCATAACAGTCATATGTTAGAGGGCTTGGTATCAAAATTATGCAATCATCACGTTTGCTGGACTACAATAAAAACTATCAACCTTTTGCATAAAAATATGAGTCACTGAAGTATATAAATTGTTTTGAAAAAGAAAGAAAAAATCTGTGTGGTGCTTTGCTATCAACATCATTCATGGCTGCTGATAACTCAGACTGAAACCTGTCAGGAAAAAAAAGATTTTAAAATGACAAAATGACTGCCAACAGCAAATCCCTCAGTTTGACCAGTAGTTTTGTTGAACTCGGTCCCTCTCCAGTGGCCAGTGGCGGAACTGCAACATACACCACTCACCTCAAAGAGTTGTTGTTCCAATGGTTCTAGAGTTCAACGTCCTTCGTGTTTTACACATATTAGAACAGACAAGATAGAAAACGAAGCACAGCTAACATGTTTCTTCAGAAAGAAGAAGAAATGTAATAGTTTAATAAGGTGCATTGGCGCTCGGAAAGTATTTTCTTGTTTTGTTTTTGCTTTGGTAAATACATTTTAAAGAGCACAGGATTTTGTAAATTTCATTTTTTTGTTCCCATTTTAATATTCATGTTGAACACCAGCAAGACTCATCTTCACTTTTCCCCTTTCCTAAAGGTGTAGAGTAGCTGCTGAAAAAAACTGATAATTACCTGATAATTGTATTCAATTTAATTCAGTTTTTTCATAAAGCCCCAATCCAAACACATGATATCCCAAGGCCTATTACAAAGAAAATCCAGTTGTTGTGCAGCTTTAATATATTTATTCTCGACTCCATAAGGGGTGATAAATATAATATGTTAATTAATCAGATAATAATTGGACTGTTGTATATTGTTTGTGAACACATGCCCTACTGGCTGTGTGTTAGAAAAACAAATGAAGGTGTGAATCCAGCTCAAATACCGCTCACACAGAAGATTCTGCACATATAAGTAATACATTCACCACAAGTTACATTCAAAATGAAAGTTTATTAATAAAAATCGTCCAGCTCCAAGTCAAACATATTTCAGTCAAAGGCTCTTGACTAAAAGTAGTGAAACCCAGCTTAACTAAGTAACAATGTACAAAGATAAAGGAAACACATGATTGACAATCATAATCAATCAGATACAGTGGTGCCAAAAGTACACTCTTTTGTTTCTTAAG